GGCGCTCCCGCTGCGATCCCATATACATATAGTTCATATAGACGAGATCGCTCCGAGGTCCCTCCCTGAGCAATGCTCCTAAACACTCCAAGGGTAGAGAGCTTTAGCCAAGTGCCGATCCTGGTCTCCCACTCCCAACAACTATGAATTTAAGTCCTGAGAATTAGGTCCCCAAGATCCAATAAACATTTATAAAAGTTTGAGACCTAGAGACTCGAAACAATAGGTAGGCCATTGTCATGTGCTTCCATGTTTTTCCAAGAAATTGATGATAGTGAGTCTTCAAAATCTACAAGCAAAACCCATTTGATAGAGAAAGCATTAAGAATTCCAATGCATTTGCTTCTATTTAATTCTAGAGACAAAAGTTATACCATTTGTCTCCCATAGTAAATTCCCAATTATGCTCATAGTTACCCATGTTTTGGAGCAGCAGATTGAAGCACACTCCCTTGCAATTCTTAGTGTTGACCAGCCTTGCATTTGGCCTGCTTATCAATAAAGAGGCCCCATATAGCAAAGTATAGGAACTGGAATAGATGCCTACTATCCAATATATTTTTTTGTGAATCACAAGGCTAGTATTCAAAATATACACCAAAATCAGGGGCATCTTTGTAAGTTTTCAATACTTATGCGGCCCCTAATGTAACATACACTTTCTGGTAATTTAGGCAACAATGGATAAGCCTAAGGACATCATTATTTGTGGCTATATATAACAAATTGTACCAACAACCTTCCCACTGATATAAGAACACAGTGTGGCTTGATTCCTAGTACCTCTCGAGTTAGGGAGAAGAAAGAAAGCATTTCAAGTCCAGAATACAAGAACCAGCATCAAACGATATTTGATTGACAATCAAATCAAATTCATAATGCATGAGGATCAACCGAATTTTAGAACGTTTCTAGTTCATATGTGTGCATAGAGTGGGCACATGCAAGGGAGTCTGACATGTGCCAGACATTAAGACCTACACAATAATGCAGTCTGCAAAATATGGGAATGCTTCTGCCCACAAGCATACTTTATACAGCTACATACTAGAAAAAGCATTGTAATATCTTGTTTCAACTTTTTACATGGATTTTCCCAAACAGTTAATTCCGTTTAGTCAAACGGGAATAGCCAAAGACAAGAAAATATCACTAAAAGGACATCATCAAAGACAACCACCCCTTGGGAGCATCTAGTTGGCCCCTCATTGAAATAGTTGTTGAGAAGAGTGCGCAAGACCAGAGTATCATAATGTCTTCCCTAAGAACACAACCTTCGAAAGTCCATGATCCCCTTTAAAGATTCCCAAAAAAAAAAAAACCCGTCCATCAGTAAATAAATGAATACATGTTTAAGATGATTATATGGCTCTAAATAAAGATCCACACGACAAGTATGACTACAATCCCATCTAAGATCAGAGGCAGAACAGTTAATGGATATTTCACTAACAAGAGCAGGACTGATAAACTAGAAATACCATATATTGCCAACATATTATGACGAAAATTAGGCATCAGAAAAAAGACACCAGATATCAGATATTAAACCAGTAACATATCCAGAAATTCAGAAACATACCATATGCAAATCCTTTAAAGAGAATTCCTCAATTTAAATACTATGCAAAGCAAAAACAGAAGGAAAGAAACGAACAAAAAAATAATAATAGTAGAACGGGATATAAGTACCCAAGTGATGAGACCACAAATTTACATCAAGAATAACTTTCTCTTCTCATTACCATCTGGGTGAGTTCATCCTCACCCAAAGTAACATTACCAACAAAAACCAAGTTTGAATTCCTAAAGAAACCTGTAACTCTCGCCAATTTCTCATCAGAACAAGCCTCCACAGTAAGAATACAGAAACCCATTAGCCTAACAGTGCGTTCTATCTCAGAAACAAATCGAGATGGGAAAAGAGACTCAGCCAAATGGGCGCTATAACATACATCAAAAACCCCACCAGAGAATGGAAGGTCATGGGGATCAGCTCTTTTCACCAGAGGAGGAGAACCCACAATCTCAACTCCATCAACATTCTTCAAACCCATCTCTTTTAGGGCCATTACTTCATGGCCTGCACCAGCTGAGACACACAAAACCTTAGAATCATTGCTAAGGAAGCCATTAGCGGTAAGATTATGAAACAACTCTTTGAATGAATCCACTCTTTTCCTCCACTCTTTTGTTGACCAGAGCTTCTTATTCTTATTTTCAATGGTGGTAACCCTGCGCAGGTTTGTTTGGCAAGAAGCATGAGGAAAGGAGATTGAGGGCTTGCATGTTCTGGGGTTGGTAATGGCGAGAAGGGCTGCAATGGAAGCGATTATAAGGCCTGCGTATGCAATTCGGTTGAGAGATGAATGAGAAATTGAGTCCATGGACATAAAGACATAACATAGATAAGAGGGAGGTGTCTTCGAAAAAGTGGAAAGTCCGTGAGAAACTATGGTGGAGGGTGACTGATATGATCGAGGGGGCAGGCTCTAATTTGGATGGAAAAAGGCAAAAGGGAACCAGCTGGTTACTTGCAAGGAAACAACCAGCTCTTGGAGCCATCTAAAGAGGTATGAGGAAAAATAGTGACATGAATTAGGGGAAGACATAAATGTCTTTTATTTTTGGTGAAATTTAGAAATGGAAAAGGTTTATATAGAGCTGAGACTCTAAACGTCAAATTAGAGTAACCTGAAAATTTTCACATGAAGATGTTGTTTTGATGCTCAAATACCCTTAAATTCATCATCTCGACAACAAGATGCATGGACATGAGAAAAAATGGATTTCATGTTTTGAAAATAGTGCATCTTGTAATGCATTTTGGGCCGTCAATTTTCAAGATTTTCAAGTTTTTTTATATCTGCTCGATCTACACTATTTTTAAAGCTTTAAATTTTATAATTAAAATAACAATATGTTTTAAGGTTATCACAAAGATTTACAGTATTGAAACCTGAAAGAAGGATTTGTGTGATCTAGCCGGAGAATATATTCTTTTAATTTTCTTCTTTTTCTCTTTTTTTTTTTTTCAGCTTAGACCACTTACAAGCCGTCTTTTTACAATAAAAACAACTTCAAATAAAAATTAAAGAAAGAATATAACTAGGATCTTAAGAACTTGAAGCCATTCAAAATAACAAAGAAAAAAGACACTTATGCTAGGGAATAAAGAACACAATAAACGAATAAGCAAGAAACAAAAGTGGGTGCTGAAGATTACCTCAACATGGCTTCTTACACCCCACAGCGAGTCACCACCTTTCGATGGCGTAGGATCTAATAGCCAACCTTCAATCTTAACTGGAAAAATAAATTTGGACAAGCCAAGCCAATGGAACATGAACCCTTTTGATCACAAAACTGAAACCCTAAGTGAGTCCCCTTTAATAACCTAGTTTGAGAGATGTAGATTCTCTTTTTGGTACACCCTGAAACTCTTAGCCATAAATTCAAAGTTGAGAGATGGGAGAGAGAAGAAGTCAAATGACTATGAGAGGTGCATACCCCCCTTTGGACTTTCATGAGAGAGAGAGTTTCCAAAATAAGAATTGGTTTGTAGTGCATTCTATATTCGCAATAATTTTCGTTAAAAAAAAATGAGTTTCAAAATAAGAGAGAATTCCTTGAGTGAGGTATGGCCCCCTTTGTGGGATGTAAGAGAGAGATTGAAAGTTAGGTGTAGAGATTTTAGGTTGGATACTCCCTTTTTTATAATGTTTGAACAAATTTAGGTTTTTTAAGTTTTTCCTTGGCTTGCTACTTATGTGAGATTGAATATACATCATTGATCTTAGGTAACTTGTGGGGTGAGAGATATGGGCTCTCTATTCCATAGATGGGTCATCAATATCCTATGGAATGTGCTGTAATCATTATCCCCCACTTTCTAAACTATTTTCCCATAAATTAATTCAATTAAGAAATTCATATATGATAATATTATCTTTTTTTATTTTATGCATAAGCCTTCTCATATATACCAAAATATCATTCAAAATTTCTTCAAGGCTTAAATTTTCTTAAAACAACACATATTTATCTCTCAAGCTTTAGAGCTTGATTAAGAAAATAGAAAGAGTCCTAGCTAGGGCATCCCATCCAATGTGGCACATAATGGGCTCCACCCAATTTGTTATGATGGGCTCAAAAGTCTTATTAGGCCTCTAATGCAATTATATTATTATTTATTTTAAAAAATCATAAAATCATTATTTGAATATTTAAGTCATTATAAAATCAATATCTCTGTTTTTATAAATCCAAATTTGATAAATAAAATATCCAGAGATTCAAAAAAATTCAAATAACAATCTAAAAATCATATATTATTAAAATAAACACAATTAAATACTTTGATATGACTCATAGTCCACGCAGCGGATCATTAGTGGGTCACCAAAGTCTAACCAATAGGCAAGGGGTTTCAGTCCTAATATATGGATTTCAGATTCCCCCTGGAGATGAAACCAAGGTCATCCTGACCTCATGCAATCCATTGCTCAATGGTGCACAGGGGGTATCTCTCGCATATACACATGCTTCACCTTGAAAGGTAGTTCGCTTTCCTGAAAATGGCTATCAATGTGATGAAGCTTTGGCCTTATCTCTGAAGATCTCCATCACATACAAGGATCACATATTCTCTCGACTCACTATTCTATGCATACTCTGACTTCATCAAGGGACAATTCATCTAACCATCATCGGTTTGTTTCTCTATGCCCAGGTAACATGGGTTTTCCTCAACCAGACCGACATAGCATGTTAAGCACATTTCAATATCAGCAAATATTGGTTGCTTAGTAAATGTTTGCTTAGTATGGTCCACATGGGGCCACACTCCCACTGACTTCATGTTCCACTGTATAATTTTATTTACAGGCACTCATAAGGCCTTTAATGACCATACACACCCTATAAAACTACCTTTATCGATACCATTTGAAATGTGTACTTTACTTTGATTGTTTAGATCCTCTACTCTATAGAAAGCGCACCCTTTAGAAATTGTTTGTGATATTTTATAGGAAAAAGTTTATATAAAGTTGCAACCTTCTACCATACAAGTAAGGTGTACGTTAAAAATCTAGTAGACAATAGAGGTTTAAAGTTGTAACTTTCCAATTGATCATCTCGACCTCAAGATGAATGGAAGTAAAGAAAAAAAGAATTTCATGTTGTAGGATTAGTTCATATTGTAATAAGTTTTCTAGATAGTTTATTTCCAAGATTTTCAAGTATTTATATTTCGGGTCGATGTAGGCCATTTTTGGAACTTTAAATTTTTTGTAATCAGCGTTGATCAGGACTATACCTTTTGTCAAAATTTAGAGGCCTTATTTATATAGTATAAGGCGACACCTTATACAAGCCTCACCCTATTTTATATGCCAAAAGATATTCTACTTGTGGGGGAGTAGAATGTCCATTTACTCCCTTAGGTAAAACCCTATTTAGAATTAATTCTAGGACTTCAAATTGTGGGGATGTAACCTCTTCAATTCATAAATTAACCTCAATAAAAATAATTTCCTAATTGTATCCTCTATGCACCAAGAAAAATAATATCTTGAGATTGAATAGAAACCATCCAATTTTTAGATTGTGTGATCTAATTTTAAATTTTAAATTTTTTTTGAGAATAAGCATCTATAATTCTTAAATGGTCCCAAAATTTTAGATTGACAAAATCCTCCCAAATAGGTCTTTTCACCGAGGGAGTAGTTTCACCGAGGGAGTAGTAAGTAAATTATGCTCCTGAGGGAGCATAGTGTACGTTCACATTTTATATATTCCAATTTGTTATGTTCTTTTAAATTATACGTTGCATTTTATTAAATATTTTTGTACATCAAATTAGCCTCTAATATTAAGTGTCTATACTTCTCACTAATTTTTTTTAGGATAAATCAATGGGGATTTGGGCCCTACCCTTTTACATTGTAAAGAAAAATAAATGAAATACAATGCACAAAGTAAGTTACAAGTATGTCATAAGAAACTCCATGTGCATAGGGCTATCAATGGACGCGTACCTGAATCGGGACCCGGCTGGTACTCTCGAACTAGGTCTGGGTATGGATCTAAATTTTGAAGAATTGTATCCTTTATGCCCTAAGAAGAATAATATCTCAATATTGAATAGAGACCATCCAATTTTTAAATTGTGAGATCTAATTTTTAGATATTAAATTTGCTTTGAGAATAATCATCTATAATTCTTAAATGGTCCCAAAATTTTAGATTAACAAAATCCTCCCAAGTAGGTCTTTTCACCGAGGGAGTAGTAAGTAAATTATGTTCTTGAGGGAGCATAGTGTACGTTCACTTTCTATATATTCTATTTTGTTATGTTCTTTTAAATCATACGTTGCATTTAATTTAATTTTTGTATACATCAAATTAGCCTTTAATATTAAGTGTCTATACATCTAACTAATTTTTTTTAGGGCAAATAAGTGGGGATTTGGGCCCTACCCTTTTTCATTGTAAAGAAAAATAAAAGAAATACAATGCACAAAGTAAATTACAAGTATGTCATAAGAAACTCTTGGTATCAATTGCCCATACCCGAACAGGGACTCGGAGGGTACTCTTGAACCAGGTCTGGATAGTATGGCTGAACCCCCCGACCCATTAAATTTATGTTAATATAAGTTATAAAGTAAATTTTATAT